ACTCTGTACACAGAACTACCACCTCTTGGTGGAGGCAGTACTTCATGCAAAGAACTACCACTAGACACAGTACCTACAGTTACTACAGTAAAATACTGCATTGTTTGACTGCTTTAGTATAATGACTCAAACACACTGATCATTAAAGGGCAATTACACTCTTGTAGTCGTGCGCGTGCCCGCTCCTCTCACCCAGAACAGCAGGTTGAGCGCGTACAGCAGGCAGCGCAGACACCTCACCGCGTCCTCGCGAGCCATCCCGACCGGAGCTCCTCCGCGTGCCGCTCATCTGAGCCCGGGGCACCATGGCAACATGCTCGCTGCACGCACACAGCACGGAGCGCTCAGGAACTGCGCGTGCTCCGTGCGTGAAACCCGCATTCCGTCCCCGCGCGCCCTGGCCCGCTCGGTGACCAGCAGCAGGTGGTCCTCACTGCGCACGCTCCGAACCGGTCACCGCTGTCCGCACACCTCCAGACTGTCACCGGATACACGGATACACACACGCACACACAGCTCGGTAGTCTGCTGCGTAACAATCCGAACCGTCCGCTCCTCTGCTCCTCCTGCTGCTCCTTCTTCACTAATTAAAGCAGCAGCAGCTCCGCCTCCTCTCTCACAGCGTCCGGGGGGAGGACAGAGGAATGTGTCCGCCTCCAGCCGCACAACCGTGGGGTCAGCAGGCCGAGATTGAGAGGATGAAGCTGCAGGAAACACACACAGCGCTTGGAGTGTTTGTCCACATAGTTCTGGTCATAAACTCTTTGCAGTAGCACTTTTTGTCCCGAAATTATGTGGAAACTTACTTTAGGCTACCTTGTAATTATTTTCCACATACTTTCTGACTATTTGCACATATATTATTATGTTACACACGGGACTGCCGGACACTGAACATAACCTCGTAGAAAGAAAAATGTATGACAAAAGAATGTGGACATAGACTTCCACGGAAATACAGTAAGACATGTCGTTTGTGTCTACATAATTTTGGCCATTTAGGCTGCTTGTTTGTTTTTCTGCTCACACTTGTAATCAAAATAATGTGAACGCATGTGACTGGCTATCTAAATGGTAAATGGATGGTTCTTATAACACTAATCTAAAACAATATATATACCCCAAAGTATATAGACTAACACGTGCACTCATTTTACAGTTCTTAAAATCACTGATAAGAACTTATAATTAATATATGATAATTAGAATAGAATTACTGCTCGGTTCATGAATAACTATAGTCACATGAAGTGGGATATGTTTAATTAACAGCTGAACATGTGTGAAAACACAAGCGTATGTGGACAGAAGTTACCACACAGCTTATATTGTTTGTCCACATACTTTAAATGTGTTAAATTAGTACCACAACGCACAAATCTAATATTTAATACATTAGTAAACATATCTGAACAGAAATGGTGAGATGGATATATTCTTGCTATCTCTTTAGTTGTTTCTGTCCACATATTCTTATAGAAAAGTAAATATAATTTTCAGCTGGTCATTAATGCAATTTTTCAGGTAAAAAAAATGTCCAAAAGCTTTGTGTAAATGTGCAGTCGAAATAAAATATTTTACAAGGCTTGAGAAAAACACCCCTCTTGCTTTTTATTTTCAAATAAATAAATAAAGGATTGCTATAGTATAGTGCATAAAAGACGTAAAGAAGTGTAAATACAAATACAATTCCCATGATGCATCTGTACTGTCAACGCCTGCCTGTATGTGAACCAATCAGAGCGCGGGCAGACGTTTGCGTCAGCATCCGTGACCTCCTTTTTTCTGGGTATTTTTTTCTGAGCAGACGTTGGCAGGCGGCGCCATATTGAAAGCAGAGAATTGTCGGCGAAAACGACTGACACCTTAAATTAAACACGATGTTGTACCTGGAGGACTACCTGGAGAGTGAGTATGGGACTCCACCGAAGCGGCAGTGGTGTCACAGGGCTCTGCTGCGTGTTAAATAGGTGTTATTTTCCGGCCAGGTCGGCTCCGGCAGTTAGCCTAGCCGTGCTAGCAGGTAACCGCCTTTTCTTCTCCTGGCAGTGATCGAGCAGCTACCCATGGATCTCCGCGACAGGTTTACGGAAATGAGGGAGATGGACCTGCAGGTTCAGAGTACGTACAACCCCGCCGCCAACGGCGCCACACACCGGGGACACGCGCGCTGCGGCATGCACACATAGCGGCAGCCCTGCTGGAACTGTCCAAGCAACAGAGCCGCGTCCCGGCGCCGATGACCGTCCGATGGCGCTTACTTAATTAGCACATGTTAGCAGAGGCGGCTAACGGGCTGAAACCCAGTAGATACAGCACGATACTGCAGCGCAGCAACCACCTGCAGGGTCACATCCACCCACAGGGCCCCCTCCCCTTTATTACTGCCGATCCGAAAGTTCACATTCATGCACATTAAAAGTCAAGTTGCTTAATAAAGCAACTTTAAAATTATTATCGCTGTTAGACTCTCACAGGAGGTCCTAATCACCATTTTAGCACTATAAATAAAAAATAATCAGTTTTCTTTGGTCTAAACTGAGATTATTTAATAGGATTTCTGTAAATATCTGTATTTTTTTTAAGTTTAAATAAAAAAAAGGTTTTAGTAAAATATGTTTTGATAAATTATGAAGTTGCTGAACAAACTAAATAATTTTGAATTGAAATTTAAAATGAAGGATTCCTCTAAAATATTTTGTTTCAATCACTGACACAAATTTAATTGGACTTAGAGTTAGATAAATTAAACCACTTTCTAAACGCTTGTGTGTGCAGCCAGAAAAAGAACAATGTTGTAACAATGGTATAAACGCGACTCTGAAAGGTGTAATAATAAATCAGTGTTATGGATACTCTGAATGAGCCTGTGCTGGGCGCTAGTGCTGCGTGATACTGCAGATTTAAGTATTGATCTGATACCAAATAAATATAGGGCCAGTATTGCTGGACACTTTGCTGTCATTTTTCTATCCGTTTAAACCTCAGGATATTAACCTTTTAAGACCTACCATAGAACCAAGTCCGCCAGAGCTTATCTATATATTTTTAGATGGTGTAGTGACATTTTTTTGGGAGTATTTCAAGTTGCTATAGTAACTACATGAATTGCAAAAAAGTGCAACAAACTACCAAAAAAAATGTAACATTGTTCTTTTTTTTGTTTTTTACACATATTTCTAGTTGGAGAAATTTCAGTGGTATATCCCTCAATACTGTAAATGCAAAAAAGTTGTGCAAAATAGGTTCCAACCACAGGAAATCTATTTTGAGTGTATTCATAGTTTTATTTTTGACATAGGCAAATTTTTATATACTGTAGAAAAAATGAAAATAAATATTGTAATGCAAATTTGCAAAAAACAGCATGAACTATTTCCAGCAGTGTAATTTGAGTTCTAAGCATCCCAGAAACTGTACAGAAAGCCATAAACTTAAAAATGAATTTTAAAAACCACCAGCGTATTCTATAGGAAAAAACTACATTTTCTGCGAAGATGACGCCACTTCCGGTTTCGGGCAGGTAATGTTGGATGCGCTGATTGGAATTAGCAAAGCATGTTTCTGGAATACTATGTTTTTGTTGCTGCAAATAGATGATGAAACCACTTCAGCTTTAGTCACATTGGTTCAGAGGCACAGATCTGTGACATAACAGGAGCACTCACTGAGTGAGAGCTGGGGAAATAAAGTTTTAATCAAACTTTATTTATACTGCACATTTATACTGCAGAGCGTATCCAATCACTAATCAACAAAATTTAACAAAAATTATCCACACATGGCACACTCACTGCTGCAGGTTTCAGCTGGCAGGAAACACTCAAAAACAAATCACCTGAGGGAGTCACACTCAGGTTAGTGTGGACCAGGTGAGTCCTCAGCTCTGATTTCATTAGAACTACAGTCCAAAGGTGATCCCCAGGCTCAGAATAAGTCTGCAGTTCACCAACAGAGAGGAAACATCTGAGGGAGGGCCGCAGTCAGACTTTACACACGTGATGGTAAAATGCTGAGTGCTGCGTTTTCTCACGTCCTTTCCTGTTTGTTCCTTCAGATGCCACGGATCAGCTGGAGCAGAAGGTCATCGAGTTCTTCGTCAACGCCAAGAAGAACAAACCAGAGTGGAGAGAGGAGCAGATGGAGGTCATTAAAAAGGTCAGAGGTG